AATTCATTTTTCATAATCACGTTTATCCTTTCCACCCTCTACCTCTCATACCTCAAACCAATCTACATTATAACAATCAAAACACCACAAAATCTCATTCTAACAGTATCCCCATAATAATAGTGATTCATTATTTTTATCATGAATTGATTAATTATAAGAATGTCCTAAAACCCCAAACTTCAACACAACTTCACTCTACGATCAATTGATTTATGAACACACAACAACACAGCAACACAAACTATTTATCATATCAATTCATGGCAAAACAGAATCATAAACATTCATTTATCATACTCATCATAAAGCAATAGAGAAAAACAAAATACTATTGGAGGTTAAGGGAAAACTTTCTACCCTTTCATAATATAACACCTTCAATCCCTAACAATGGAGGTTCTCCTAACCCCTTACTCCCAGCCTCTTCTTTCAAATTCTATTTTTCTCACTAATCTCAAACTTCTTTACTAACTCCTTTTTAGTAGTAATTTAATTCTCCTTAAAAATATAATTCCAAGAATATCCTCACTTATTCCTCTATTCACCAAAATACCCCTCTTGACTCTAATTTCATTTTAAAAGCATCTCCAACCGTGAACTCAATTTTGGGTTCTTTGTGAGACCTATTAAGCCACGTCAGCTTGAAGCAACTCAACTAATTTTTCACTCCAATGGTACAATTCTGAAGAACTCATATTGGGTCCCACAAGTTTACTTTATATGTTAATATTTTATTCATATTAAATTTTATATCACTTAAAATAATAATTTTAATTTTTTTACAGAAAATTATTCCAATACTATATAAACTTAAAAAAAATTAGATTAAACTTAAAAAAATATTTCAATCTTTCCTTAGTTAATTTTAGTGTTTTAAATTAAATTTGATATAAAATAAAAAAAATTAAAATTAAAATTAAAATTTAAAATAAATAAAAATAAATAAAAATAAAATAAATAAAATTCAAATTAAACTTATAATTTAAACTTATAATTAAAATATAGTTTTCATATTATAAAATCAATATTTTAATATTGTAATTATAATTTTCATATGATAAATAAAATTTTATATTAAATTATAGTTTTTATATTATAAAATTAATATTTTAATATAAGAACAGTTGAAGAACCGTTGCTTAATTAAGCACCGTTCAACAACATGGCAATCTTGGAAACAACAAATATGAGTGCCATGTTGGCAAACCCACTCTAAGAACTCCCATTGGAGTTGGTCATATCCCTTATTTTCTAATATTTTTAATTCTATTATTTTAATGACTTAAATGCACTTTTGGTCCCACTATTGTGAAGTTTCTTAAAATTTAGTTTTCCCATTTTAAAAACCAGTTTTTTGGTCCCTGTCATATTTAATGTATATTTTATTTCATAATATTTAATTTTAATATTAAAAGTAACTTTAATTTAAATAATTATTAGAATGATTTTTTCATTAATAAATATATTTTATTAATTAATTTTTTTTATAAATATATTTTGAACATTATTTAATTTAAGATAAATTTTAAAATGATCATTTAGGGCCTATAGCCCATTAAATGGCAAACTCTTTTCATCTTAGCCCACAATTGCTTGAATTGTTAAGTTTGTTTAGTAACGACTTGGAAGGCTACTTGTTCTGGCCTGGGCCCCGACCTGATTGGTAAGGCCCAGCCCACCTATGCTGGGGAAATGCCTAAAGGAGCTTTCCTCATATGTGTCGAGCACGAGCCTCCCGTCGGCTAGACATTGCCCCGTCGGGCAGAACGCTTCCCCTGCCTGGCAGAAAGACGTGCACCTCACACGTTCTCCACGTGCCCCCCTCTGCGGGGACACGTCCTCATCCAACCACCCACCTCTGCGAGAGTTGGTCAATCCACCTTACGGAGATCACGGAACGGTTGAACTAAGGCGAAGACCATGTACTGGTCTTCACTACGCCACGTAAGCCCTAGCAGTCACCTGGGTTGAGCCTGACAATCCAGCTCAACACAAGTGACCGTTGGCCCTGCGCTGGGGTCTCACTATAAATACCCTCTTTCACTAGAGGGTCAGGTATTCAATTCAATTCTCAACCTTGTCTCTATATTTGCTTCACTCTGATCCTCTCTCACTTTGACATCGGAGTGTCTTGCAGGTACACCCCCTCCTCTTTCTTACCACTAGTGAACAAACAGCAAACCCAAAAACAAGACGCGTGGCGGTCGAGTGATTCCCTCCTGATCAGGTCAGATCACTACTGTTTCAAACTGACCTAATGACTAGGCATGACTCAATCCACTTCTGCTTCCAGAACGACCCAATTGCCTAAGTCCAACCACTTGGGGGGAGAATTTACCTTTCTGCCCCCCAAAAGGGAAGGCTGACCAATTTACCCGTGGTCACAACACTTTTCCTCGTCAGTCTCTTCCTGTCACGCACGGTCCCACCATCCAAAAACAGTCAAGACACATGTGCCCGTAACTACGCCCCTGCCCGTAGCAACGACTAGTTACGGGCATGTCTGCCCGTTACAACGGCTAGTTCTGATAGTTACCTATTTTTCGGGAAACCGTTATCTCTCTCCGAAAATAGGGACCAACGGTCAAGAACTGTGGACACTATATAAACTCTCTCATTTGAGAGGGTCAGATATCAAATATTCATCCTAAAATACTCATATTTTGTACTTGCTCTCTCTCTCTCTCTCTCTCTCTCTCTCTCTCTCTTTTGCTCGTTTTCTTACTTTAACATTGGAGTGCCTTGCAGGTACACCCCCTCCTTCTCTTTCATACCCAGCATCACAGACGATTGTCTTTGTCCCATCTCAAATTCTGATCAACCTGTAAGATCAAATAGGAAAAAAATGGAGAGAGAGAGAGAGAGAGAGAGAGAGATTTCAAAAATAAACGAAAGAGTGAAAAAATTAAAAGTAAATAGTAGAAAATGAATGAAATGACAAAAAAAAAGATAGTTTTAATTTCTTTAATATTTATTAATTACAAATATGTTTTTTTCTAATAAAATTAAAAATAATAATATATTAGAAAATTTGATGGTAGTTAATTTTAATGGATAGATATTTGATTAAAAGAAAACATATCATAAAAATAAAAATAGGTAGTTTCTTGGTACACTTGACATCTCACTCAAGTGCCTCGTGGTACAAGAAATCCAAAATCACTCCTTCATGAAAACTATCCGTCATCATTAAAGCTATCAACTTCCATATACCCTCATTGTGAATACAATGAAGTAAACTACTTACTAGGCATGAATACTCAGCACACCCAAATTTCGTTTTTAAAATCGAGCATGGAGGATTCATGTTCTAGGTATAGGTGTGTATGGATAACTATTTAATATGAACTAATTTATTTTTATAGTTATGATTTATAAATCAAATCATTTGTCACAAAAACTAATTTGAAATTCATAACCAGTTTTGAATCAGTTTAAAATCGGTTTCAAATAGATATTAATTTTAATCTAAATTATCTAATTAAATTTAAATTTTATTTTTTAAAAATTTATATTAATTTTTAAATTTAAATACTTAAACAAATTTTATAAAATTTTAAAAAATATTTTTTTAAAATAAAAAAATAAAGAAAAAGTAACTTTTTATTTATAAAAGATTAGAACATAAGTGACTTTTTATGCTATTTTATAAGAACTCAATTGAAAGTTATTCCTAAATTGCAAATTAGTTTCAACTTGATTTGTAAATTTTCACTTCTGAATAGTATCAACATTTGAATCGATAATGACAAGGTGTGATTATCACAAGGGAGCTATAAAACATAGACATCTCTGGCTTGATTTGTAAATTTTCACTTCTGAATAGTATCAGCATTTGAATCGATAATGACAAGGTGTGATAACCACGTAGCCACTTGATTCATGATTCACAGTATATAAACAAAAAAAAATTTAATTTCCATTTTTATATTTAACACAAATAAATTTAATTTTAAATTTAACCACATGAAAAAGACAAACATATAAATTTAACCTATAATAAAATTTGAATAATCAATTATTATGGATACTGATTTATATTTGAATAACAAAATAGATATCCATATTTATATTTTGCAATTTAGTTGGAATTTTTAAAGTGAAACAATTTGAATATCAATTTAGTCATGTATAACCTGTTTTTTGCACACCCCAAACACTGTCTAAAATTTTAGAGAAAAATTATAATTAAAAAAGACTTCATAAAATATTTGTTATGATTAACACATTTTTTAAAATAGACACACGTACACTTGTTGAATCAAAGCATATTTGTAAAAGAAAAAAGAAAAAGAAAAGACAAGATTTACAATCCAAATCTTAAGAGAAAGATGGAAATGAGAAGCTAGCATATATAGAGATTTGAAGATGTGATTTTCATCTCATTCCTCTTCCTCATAAATTGTTCTCTTTCACTATTTTAAGGTTGAATAGAAAAGAATAAAAGAACGGAAGAATGAAGTGGAAGAGCTTGTGAAGGGTGTACTAGGAGGAAAAGAGTGGGTGAGAGAGAATAAGAATGGAGTGGAAGAGCTTGCGAAGGGTACTTGGAGGAAAATAGTGAGCGAGAGGGAAGAAACGAAGAAGAAAAGTGGAAAGTAGAAGAAGGAATGCGAAAAGAGAGAATGCAGGGTTCTTTCTTTCTTTAACGTAAAAAAAAGTCAAAATCCAAATTAAAATTGGAAGTAATAACTAAGAATGTTTCTAATGCTTGACAAAGACACAGCAAATTATCTAAGCTATATGAAACACACAGAAATTGAAAAGATTCAACAAAGTTAAACAATGAAAATCAAACACTGGAAAATCAATAACCAAATTCACCACAAGTGCACTGAGACCGTAGTATTAAGGTCAAGTTCAACACACTAAAGATTACAATATAAAGAGTAACAATGCGTACACTATTATAACTTTATTAAGTTACAACATCTTTTGCCTAAACCAGACATTCTAATGAGATTTTGAAAATTGACTACTACAATTTTGGAGACAGACTAATAAATAAAAGGAATAAACTTATACTTAACTTTACTTGCATATTCGGTGTATCTCTGGCCAAACGACTCAATCATCAAAGCCTCCTCCATATCTGCCTTTTGCTTATAATACAACAAACAAATAGCTACAATAAATAGCAGACTCAGCGGTGCTCGAAGCGCAACGCAATATGTCACAAACAAAAGCGCTGTTGACGAATATACTGGATGGCGCAACCAGCGATAAGGTCCAAATTGCACAACAGAAATTGGAACCACCACATTCTCTGAATACTTAGCAAGATATAATGTGGCATTATAATGAAACAGCAGAGTTGCAATAATCAAACCCCAGATTCCAAGATTGCTCCACCCACCTGGTATGAGGTTAAGCTCTGGGCCTTCGAATGCTGCAAGCCAATGGCCAACCATGATTCCTGCACTGAACAAAAGGCGAGACAACATTGGCAAGTTCACATCCCATTTTGGGTCATGACGCCGAGCATAATAATCTCCGTACAACCGCTTCCGTACACTAACATTATAGAAAAAGAAGTAATGGTATACAAAAAAGAAAACCATAGGCCAGCCTTCAAGGTAGCCATTGAAATAAGCTGGTGGAACAAGGGTGAGCCATGTAAAAGCTGATGTAACAATGGCCAATTGCTCAAATATGTTTGCCTCACCGATCACGTGTTTCCGAAAGCAATATATCCCATAAGCTGCAAGAGCTACGGCCACCAGCCATGGCCAGTACATCCAAGTCCAGCTAAAATACATCCAGAAGAAAGGATTCAAGAGCATATTAATAGCCCATTTTATGGCTGTAGTTATGACTGACAGTATCGCCGTCAATTTTACTATATCGATTGGAGTCAACTGCAGAACGGTAGCTTTTATCGAATCAAATGATATGTTTTTGAAGTACTTTAGGACTGGATTACTAGAATCTGTGCTGGCTTCATTGGAAATTGAGCATCTGGGAAGAGGGAACAAATCAGCTCTTTTTCTTACTGGTTTAAGTAAGGAGGAAAAAGGTTTTCCACGGCTGCAACTGCAATTCAATTGAAAAGTCATGCGCTTGGGTCTTGGGTGGAGTTGATTACTGTTATTAACCACATCAGCATGAACTTGTTTGCTGAAAGGTCTTAGAGAGATATTGTTGCTCACAATAGAGAAACCAAAAGGTACAAGTTTGGAGTGTGAAAAAACTTTTGATGCTTCCATCACTGCTTGAGATAAAATCACATAAAAATTTACCACTGGCTGCAAGTAAGTCACGAAGCCAAAGATGGATCCGGAGAAATCAGGCTCATATTCTTCGACACATTGAGTCACTCATAAATCATAATCAATGGATCCAACCCACAGGAGAGGCAATGGAATCGGACATGTATTAATTTTGTTGTTCCCCCTGTTCCAGGTCAGCCAGCAACAACATTCATAACATTAAAACCCAGTATCATTCATTCTGTAAACAACATTATTTATAGGCATGAATAAAACAAACATCCACAAAACAAATATCAGAACATAAAATGTAAAATGACTGCTCAGTTTCAAGTTTCCACATCCTTTCTGGTCTATTGGCACGTGTAGGATTGACACATATTATTACATTCAATCATTTCCATTTTATTAAATTTTCTTGGTGTCCATGTATCAATGTTGTGTCTTTTGTTGTTAATCTCGGAGAGTGTTGCGTATCATGGAACTCTTAAAATGCTATAGCAGAATAGCCTTTTAAAAACAAGTGTACAAAGTGAACATAAATACTTAAAAAAAGACTAATACACAAAATTAAAAAGATCATCATACTTACAGTTAAAGAACTTAAAGTATAGAATAATAAAACTTAATAAGAGAAGAAGAATAAAACAAAACAGAACTAAAAGAAGAAGGATGAGTAGAACAATTATTTGTGAGCAAGAACATAACATTACTCTTCAAAGGGTTCGGATTGCAAGTTATACCCTTGGAAAAAAGACTACAGTTTAAAAAAATATATATGAAGAATTTATCCCCAAAAATTCTAACAGTGGACGCAATAGCGGCTGCGATAGAGGTTTGAGGCTACAACTAGCAGCCGCTACAACCACAATTGTTGACAGTTCACGGACCAATGGCATCCCGCCAAACTCTACCATAGCTATGTTATTCCGCTTCTACTATAGTGCTAAAGCGTGCTATTGACAACCTAGGTTGTGTCCGGTGTCTGTATCATAGTTTCATAGATTATGATTAAGAAAAGTACAAAACCAATTACCATAAACTTAATAGCCCAACAGGGTGTGATACAAACTCAAAATGAAAATGTCACAAATCCTAAATCCTCATTTTGCCCCATCCAACAATAACAAAAAAAAACTCTCCACCAATTTATACTTTTTAATCAGTTTAAAAGTGTAATTACAGCATGTAAACAACTTAGACAAATAAACAAACACATGGTGTGTAGATATGAAACAAATGATAAAACTAGCTTCATACGCAGTGAAAGAGTTGAAAATGGAACAAAATAAAAGATTAAAAATGAAATGAAGAAGATAGCATAGGATAGGAATAGTACCAGTTAACGAAAAACGAAAGTTGAGTTTGGAAGCTACGAGCAGTTTGAATTTGAGAAGAGACAATTGTTGTTTCTCGTGTAATGTAATGTTGTGTTATGTTATCTCTGAAGTGGACCAACAACGCAACACCCTATTGACGGATACACACCGAAAATTGTTCGAAGTTCTTTTATCATGATATTTTTTTTTTTTTTAAAATTAAGTGACAAGTAGTAATTTATCTTCTTTTTTTATACTATGAAGTAGTAATTTCTCTTCAACCATGTCAAATAAGTTTTTTTTTTTTTTTTAAGTGAATTTTTCGGTAGCCATTAGTTTAAGTTGGATATAGATATTTTTAATGCAAATTGTTAGAAAATTTTAATTTATTTTAAAATAAAATAAGATAAAAAAAGTGACATGATATTAAATTATACTATTTGATTTGTTGGATTTCAGTATTCAACTAAATAAGGGTACAAGAAATAAGGGTACAAGAGCATTCATATTTTTTAAAATGTAAGTTAGTTGTTTTATGTTTAAAATGTTGTAGTGTTATAGCGGTAAAGGGTCTCTCCTAGGACTATGTCTTTAGACCATTCTCTAAGAGCTAATGTTGGAATATTGTTCAAATAGAGGTATCGTCTCGCCCCGGGACTTTCTTATCGTCAGGTAATAAAAAACGTGGGATAAGACGTTTGTGGGGTAGAGAGAAGTTATAGTCAATAATTGACAAATGACTTTTTAGAAAATATGGATTCAACCGTCCACTATTGACTGAGTGAGCAAAGACCCTTTCCAAGAGAATCCTAGACCCTAGAGGGCTCTATAAATACATCTCTCATGCAGGAGAGAAGAGGGATCTTAAGTAATATGGAGATCATTCTAGACACTTCAAAAGAGCATGACGATTACTAAGGTCACACAACACCACGACTGACCATAAGCATATGCTCGCTCCTAAGCGTCACCGGTCACTTGTAGAGCATCTCACCTCACATGAGCATGACTCTAAAACTACCTCAAAACACTACCGTATAATGCATCTCACCACCGTGGGCAAGTGTTAACCACTATATCGTGTTATAAACCTACTAAGATTTCTAAGTCTCCATGTCTTTGCATGGGGGGACATACACGCTTGTACTTCTTAACCAGTACAAATTCCAATATTTTACACAACCTTGTCTTTTTCGTTAAATGTCTTACTTGATTATTTAAAAAAGTAAAGTCTTCGTCAATTTATCAAAACAACTGTGATAATCTCTAGTATATCAAAATACTTATTATAATCTCTAATATATCTTGTGAAACACAATGAAAAGAGAGTTTTCTCACGAGTAGGATAACAAGAGATTTTGTATATCAGAGTTTGATGGAACTAACTAATGAATCACCAAATCCTAGAGTTAGAGTATTTATTAAGGGCTTCTTAGGTTGAGCTAGATGAAAGAAAACGTTTTCCCTAACTTCTCGAAGAAGTCGTGGAAGTATGGGAAGACTGTTCTTCCTCAAATCACAGAGAGACACTTTTTTTACTGACATCCCTAACTGTTATGTTTTGAGCACCTTACATGACACATGTAATAAAAGAGCATGACATAGATCTCAGTTCAGATTAGGTGACTCTAATCCAATGAGCATGACTCGAAGATGCCCATGCCCAATAGGGCGAACTGTAACACGCTCTGTGTAACACCCTTCTAAATCCCACGGAAAATAAGCATTTTCAGTGTAAAATTAACATGCATTCACAAAGGGTGTCACACATATAATACCAAATTACTAAAAACCACCTGTCATGCTCAAAAATACTGAAATAAATAATCATACTTTACAAAATTCCATTTGCATGTAGCAGCGGATTCATTTATATCACAATTTTTCATAAAAGAAATATTTACATTTATCACATGAATCAAAATCACTTAGGCACTGAGGCCAATAACACAAAATACATCTGAGACATAACCCAAACGATCCCAGTGTTACACGACCAGAGCACGACTCGACCCGATACAATTAAATCACTAAACAACTACACCAATAGCGACCTCGCAACTACGAGTAGTACTACACCTTGAAACCTGCACGATGTCACGAAGGACATCATTCCAGCAGAAGGGTGAGAAATATTATCATAATAACAATGCATATAATCATGTATAAATGCACAAGCACATAATACATATATTCCACATTTTCTCACCACCTTACACTTTAAACGTCAAATATGTCACAACATACGTTTACCTAAGTAAACACATTCATCAATTCACATAAACACACATAACATGTTTATTCCACCAATTCACATAAACATTTATATCCATGTTTATTTCACTAATGCATCATATAAAGATGATAATGCAACTCATAGAGACCGACTCTCGACTCTATGCAGATGCAAATGCGGTACCGACTCATTCAACAGGTTCAATTGAAGAACCAAAAGGAACCATCGCTCATTACCGAAGTAAGTCCCCGTCGGGCCTACGATCTTCACCCATCGCTCACACCCCACATGGGCACACAATGTTTCAGGATTTCTTACACCCCACAAGGGCACATAATCGTTCTGCAGATCCTCCACGGGATCAAGAATAAACCATCGCTCACACCCCACAAGGGCACACGAGGTTTCTGCAGATCCTCCACGGGATCAAGAATAAACCATCGCTCACACCCCACAAGGGCACACGAGATTTCTGCAGATCCTCCACGGGATCAAGACACAAGAATGCAATCATGATGCTACACACGCACAATGACTCCACACACTCTTGAAATGCACACCTATTCACAAAAATATACAATTACGCATTACACCCCACACAAGTACATACAATTATACACCTAATTGCCAAACGGCCACATCACACACTTTCATATAACAATCACGTACACATACCATATGACTCATACAAACCCAACAACTCTCGCAAATCCTCATTTGGATTATGGGTACATCACTTATACCCTACCAGGAACAACATCACAGTTATTCTACCCCAGTGATTACTACACTAGGAACGACACCTTGTCATTCTACCCTAGTGAGTAAGAATCTCGCATGTTTACATATTCTCAACATCATTAACATACACATATATTCTCATGCATTCTTCACACCTTAACACATAAAATCAATATACAAACTTGAGGTCGTGCCAACTGCAACGAGCTCAATCACATACATCATGCATTCATGTTTAATTCAAACAATGCATTTAATTGCCAAAAGGCCATACTTCACAATCTAGGATTCACGCCATAAGGCTACCCACATCACGTCTCATCATAATGATACACAAACTATACACGTTGCATAAGGATTAACATCATTGAACCAAACAATCTACCATTGGATGGAACACATAAGAAAACAACATGCTTTCACACTCGCTACCCTGTTTGCCTAGCGAGTGCTCGCTACCTGTTCGCCTAGCGAACAAGCTCGCGAAGGCAAATAGAAGCCACTGACTTAATTCGCTACCTCACTCGCTCAGCGAAGGCTTAGCGAATGCTCGCTACCCCCTTCGCTACCAGCGAAGAATACCCAAAGCCATTCTGCCCAAGTCTGGGACCATTCGCTACTGGCTCGCCACAGCGAATACCCATCAAAAGCTAGCGACCTGCTCGCCTAGCGAACGAGCTAGCGAGGGTCTGTGAACTCAG